GATTCTGGCTCCTGTAACGTCAATACTAGGTCATCTGCAAATGCTCTCAATTTGTACTGTTTAGCTCCAACCTGTATGCCCTTAACCAACCGGTCCTTTCTAATCATATTTAGCAAAACCTCCAGGACCGATATAAAAAGCAGTGGGGAAATTGGGCACCCCTGTCGTGTCCCTTTTTCTATCTTAAATTCTTCCGTAACCACATTATTTACAATTAATTTAGCCTTTTGTTCAGAGTATATTGCACCTATACCATTTTCAAAACCTTGGCCTACCCTCATCCCATGCAGATTCTTCTTCATAAAACTCCAAGAGATATTATCAAAAGCTTTCTCCGCGTCAACAAATATCAATACTGCTTTGGTGTTTATATTCACTTCTAATTTTTCCAAAATATCAATTATATTCCTCAAATTATCAGACAGGTGTCTTCCCGGGAGAAAGCCCGCTTGGTCTTTATGAATCTCTTTCATCAATATTTTTTTCAATCTCTTGGCCAAAATGTCTGCAAAAATTTTGTAATCCACATTAAGTAACGATATAGGGCGATAGTTCTTAAGCTGAGTCTTTTCAGTCTCTGTTTTCGGTATAAGTGTGATATACGCCTCTTTCCACGATTCTGGTGCCCTTTTCCCCTCCAATATTTCATTGCAGACTTCCTTCAAAGGTTGCAGTAACCACTCTTTCTATCTCAGCTCAGAACCACTTTTCACATTTCAAAAATTCCCACATGATTTTTTTTTGGGGGGGCGGGGGGTGGAATTAATATGGAACCTGCTTAGAGATTATCATGTGATGTGCAGGTTTTTCACTGGCAAGCTGTGAATATACATGTGTTAATGTTGATTGTACATACAGTGGTGCCTCGCAAGACGAAATTAATTCGTTCCACGAGTTTTGTCGTCTTGCGATTTTTTTCGTCTTGCGAAGCACGGTGTCAGGAAAGTTTTGGAAAAGCTTCAAAAATCACCAAAGTCTTTAAAAACCTCAAAAAAGGCTACCACACCGCGTTCTATGAGTTGCTCCTCGAAGTCAAGTCGCAACTGTATTAACGGTGTTAAGAAAAAGGAAACAAACTTGCAAGACGTTTCCGTCTTGCGAAGCAAGCCCATAGCGAAAATCGTCTTGCGAAGCAGCTCAAAAAACAAAAAACCCTTTCGTCTAGCGAGTTTTTTGTCTTGCGAGGCATTCGTCTTGCGAGGTACCACTGTACATACAAACATTGAAAAACTCACAGATGTGATCATCATATATGAAATTAACATATACAGTGTTAATGTTGTGTGTAAATTTCTACAAGGGAATTCTACAATACTTGAGATTACTGTGTAGAGTTTGGGCAAGTCATTAGCTCTCAGTGCAATCTGCCTCACACAACTGTTGTGTGAAAATAATGGAAAACATGCTTTCAACATATGAAATAATGCAAGAGGTTATTAGAGAAGGGATGAGAGGTTAATATGCAATGTACTGTTATTTCCAAAACATGTGGAATATACTATTATTGATTTAAAAATGTGGGACAAAGCTTGCCCTCCCCCAGAATTCACCCTGCTTTTTCTCCATACCCCAACCTCAATTTCCCCCCTAATGCTGGCACTGTTAATAAGACCCCATGCTGAACTTCTCGTTTATTAATATGCTTAAGAGTTGGGTGGGATTCTCAAGTCGTAGTTTCTGCTATTTGAGATTTAAGCAGGGTAATGTCAAATCAAAGTCTGTATCAGCGAACAATTCCTTTTCTTTCAGAAAAGTAACATATTTCTTGCTTAGAAAACAATAAGAATTGAGCAGGGCAGGAGTTTGCCTTTTGGGAGATGCATTCTGAACTGGAGCATGGCGGATGATTTACACATTTTAATGTGCATAAAATTAATGTGCAGCTTTCTTGCGATATGCATATCTATGGTGCTTGCCAGCATTTGTGACATTGATAGCACCCACGTTGTGTGCCTTTTGATGCGGTGCCTTGTTGCATCTCACTTTCAGGTAACAGATCCTGGCATGTTGGGAAGCGTGGCCATTCCTCTGTATCAGCTGAGGCTCCTGCTAGCTGGCCATATGAATTCCATGTGTGTGTATTTTCTAATATTGCAAAAAATAATGATATGAAATTATATCTGAAGACGTGTGGTTCTCACACCTGCTTTTAAAATATTTGATCGTCACATTGTCAGTGAATTCTGCAATTTGCTTGAGACGGGCATTGAAACTTGCCATTCTGAGCTCCCGAGGATCCTGTCATGAACCTACAGACCCCACAACAGCACCATAGGAAATGAATGCACTTTGTAGGGTATACCTTGGCCAGACCAGTGCCCCCCAGATGTTGTTGGACTACAACCAAACTGACAGGGGCTGATGGGAATTGCAGTCCAACAGCGGAAAGTGCCCAGTGCCTGTTACTCCTTCGAATGAAGTTGCATGATCCATCACTGACTCTCCCAGTGCCCAGTTCCTAAATTCCTGCCTTTAAGTTATCTACATTTCCTGCCATTGAATTGAAGTGTTTTGTTTTTACACACACCAATATCACTACTAAAGCCACTTTTTCTTTCCTTTGCAACAGTGGGAGAGGGAATTGGAGATGAGGCTGAAACTTGAAGAAAAACTCCTGGCGCTGGAGCTTAAAGAAAAACAGAAGTTGGAAGAAGAACGCTTCAAGAAAATAATGAAATGGCGATTAGAAAAGCTGAATAAGACAACTAAGCCCTATGAGCTTCCTCATAAAAAGGCAGAGGAGGAGGAGGAGGAAGAAGAAGATGAAGAACTGAAAGAGTCATGCAGCAGCACTCAACTGTCAAGTGCACAACTGTCACGAGCCTGAACACCAGCCCGCTAAGGGGTTAACTTACACATTACAGGCAAATGCATGCAATGAAGCCCAAGACTTTAGAATGAAAAGCCTTAGTGGAGGAGTAGGGAAGTGTGTGTGCTCTTAAACCATTTCCTGCTAATGGTTTTTTGCTCAAAATTGCTCCCACCTACTTTTTCATCCACGGTGTACCAGGTGTTTATTAGGCTAAACCATGCGGCAGCTTAGGACCAATTTTGAGGGGGTGGGGAATGCCTGATATGAAGACTTGAAGCTCCTCTTCCCACCCCACTGCTTCTCTGCTCAAAACTGTGGCCTCCTGCAGCAAAGTGCCATAGGGGAGGAGTAGAGCAGTCCTCCACCCATTGGTGGCGCTGTGTTTGCCAGGGTGATGTGGCGGTGAGGTTTCAAGAGCTCTGTGTTGGTGGCGTTGGCACCTTAGGAGCCACCAGCACCAACCTGGAGCTCCCTCAACCTCGCAACCACCTCACCTCTGCAGTATCTTAGGGTGTGGCTGCCCTGCTGCCAGGAAGATGCTGGTGCTGCTCTATCCCACCTCTTCTGCTGCTGCTGGTCTCCTGGGACTGCTTTTCATGAAAAGAACAAGGCTGGGTTTCATAGCACTCATTTCCATGTAATGTGTCATCTGCTCTTACATCAAATTTCCTCTCCTGAAATACAATGGTTATGGGAAAGCATTTTCTGAATTTTGTCTTGTTTCTTAGCACACTCAGGTGTTCTATGCGAGGTCAAGAGAAGCACGCTGAAGATGCTCAGGGACAGCAAACCCTCTCATTCTTGTTCTCTTTATTCCACCTAATCATCTGTTTGTGCCTTGCAGAATTTCCCCAAAGTTTGTCTACACCCAGAGGAGCCAACGTGGTGCCCTACAGGTGCTGTGGGCTACAATTCGCATCAGTTCCAACCGGTATAGCCGCTGGTTAAGGATGATGGAACTGGAGTCTGCAGCATCTGAAGGGCATAATGTTGACTATCTGTGGTCTACATCAATACCTCCCATCCATTCCCGTTCCTGCCCTGGTTGCTTGTTTGCTACTGGTTCTGCCTCTTTCCTCAGACCTGTTCCTGCTTAGTCTTTCTGTTGATATTTAGGTCTTGCTTACTGCCTTACTCACTTATGCACATTGCTACATCTCCTGCTGTTTGGTTTACTTATTTAAAAATAACACAGTGGCTCTTGACTTGCTGTGACTTTTGAGCACACGGTTGATGCAGTCCTTGACTACATTGAATTCTTGGTTCCATAATTGCATGGCTATTTCCGTCGACTCAGATCTGCATGTTAAAAGCTACCTGTGACCTCCATCATTCACTGTGTGTTGATGTCTGATAATGGTAATGTTGAAACCTTAACCCTCTACTATAAGCATTCTGTAACTAGCTAATACAGCTGAAGAAATGCAGCCCACAATCAGACCCCCTAACTCCAAGGTTGAAATATGCTGTTTCTCTTTGAGTGTGTCTATGCATGAGATGGTTGAGGGTTAGCTGCTACAACTAAAGCAGATGGATGAGAAGTGGTCTTTGCAAAAGCGCGGAAAATATGATGCAGAAGAACCTGATCTTTACCGGGCACCACCAACTGTTCCCTCAACTGATGTTTACAGTTCCATTGTGGCATGGATTGTGGTTTACTCAGTAGGGCTTGAGTAAACAGAAAACAGCCGTACAATTGCTCCGTTGTGGCCAGGGCTTGTTAGTTGAATCACTCCCTATGACTTCTGGAAGCCTTCACTCCAACCTTACCTATTCCCTTTTCCATCCTCCTGGCAGTTCCACACTTTCTTCCACACTTCTTCATTCAAATAACTCCTCTTCCCTTGCTATGGTTAGAAACGTGGAGCTATATTATGAAAAACCAATGTGTCGAAGGTCTTTGTGGAAAGCTTAGCCCCATGGATTTTTTCTCTGGTCAAGGAAGTCTAATCTGATCTAGGTCATATTCTCTTTATTGGGTGGAGGATTTTGAAGTCCCAAGGCTCTAAAATGCCTCCATACCAGTTTTCTCTTTTTTTTCCAGAAAGGTGAGAGCAAGCTAGTCCTTTGATCACTGGATCACTGGCCAGTTATGTCCTAAAGTGGTGTTCCATCACTGTGTGTCATCACTGCAATTAGGACTTACTTCCTTGAACAACTTTTGAACTATCTGCGCTGACTCTTACATATGAAAAGTACAAGGCAGTGGGGGAGGATCTCCTGGGTTCCCAAGTCATCATTGTTCTTCTTGCTCCTCTTCACCACATACCAAGCATTTCCATACTTATCAAGATACCACACTAACACCATTTATTATTACACATTATTCCATTCTGAATCACTTCCTATGATTTCTGTCTCTCTCTCACACACAAAAGCATCCCTAAGGCATCTTCCTGGCAAACAACTTGCCAGTGAGGACAGCTACATCTCTGATCAGAATTTTGTGCAAGTTTTCACAGTGGAAAAGCTGCCACAGTCTTCGCCCTTCCTTCTTTGACTATTTTGAGGGATGATTTGAGGAAAAGGTGATTATACCCATATCCTCTAGCAGTCCCACTTGAGTAAATTTTTAAAAATGGTTTGATTTGCACTGTTCCCAATTAAACTGACATATATGACCACACAGCACTTTTTAAAAAAACTTTCTAAACAAGTAGTTGAGATTCATTACTCAACAATGAAATATGAATTAGTGGTAAATAATTGATGAGAACAGTTATGAACCACCCATTGGAAAAAAGAGAATAGGCGTCAGCTCTAGTTGTGCGAGAGAGAAATCTGCAAATAAACATGAGGATAGAGCTGTTTTCATACTGGAATAATTAACATCAGCATAATCTTCTCAACAGACGGGTATTAAAAATGCATATACAGTCAGCGAATGTAGATCTCTAGGAACGTTAAATCTCATATTAATATCTTTGCTTCATTTTTGGAAGTAGCTCCTCAATATGTGGTAGAAGTTTGTGTCTACTGCATTGCAACTTTACCATGAAAGAACACCCTTAGCTTTTTTGCACTTACCTTGTCATAACTGAGCCTCAGAGTCAGCTTATGTATGGGGTCATCAGATCCTACCCAAATCAAGGCTTGATGCAGGAAGATTTAAATGAGTCACAGCTCTAACACCCATCTGTGGAACATGTGGACTCACCATTTAATTACCTTTTAAAAGTGATCGGATAAATCACTCCATATTTTTACCAGGCTACCATAAACATACTTGATTTTAATGTTTAGGCGTTGTGTAAATCTTGAAATTGCTGTACCCTGAAATTATAGGACTGCATCCATTTAGAGATTTAGAGACTGGACTTTTCCCACTTGGGAAAACAGCAGTTAGATGCTCCTGCAGTGTTTTGTGAAAAAAATATCTGATTGTACCAGCCTTTCAAAGTTCCTTGAAAGTTGTTTTTAACATGGTTACCTTTAGTTATGTTCTCAGCAGTTGTCCTGAAGGTTTGACCAAGCTTCTTCCAACTAGTCGTAGATTAACTTGGAGCTGGCTTGCAGAGTTGAGGACCTGCCAGACCTATGTACAGTTTCCAATATGTTGTAGGTTTGAAACTCTTCTGGTGCTACAAATCTGCCATCAAAATTTGGCTGAAAAGAGAATTTGGAAGCATCTTTAGGTGTGGTGCTGAACATCTCTAGTGGCCCCATGATGGCTGAACCCAAAAACAGACTTCTTAGAAATGAGTACTAGATCTTGGTCACTTATTGGGGACAAGTCCATTCAGATTGGCTTTTGGTGTGGTAAGTGAAAGAAATACATCTCAACCGGCTTTCAAGAAGAGGCCTATTGGACGAACACAGTATTTTTCTAATCTTCCTAGTCTTATATATAAAGGAGAAAATACGATATGTGGTCATATATGTGGATAATTCAATTGGAAAGAATACTATTCAAAGGAATTTTTAAAAAGACTTTAATATTTGTGTGCTCATATTGATAGTCTCTCTATCACCACTGGAGGAAAAAAGAATATGATGCAGGAGAAATTAAGATTAGGATGCATAGGAAGAACGCATCCTTCCTGAAAAAGCTGGTTCATGTTTTGGTATAACTAGTCTGTCCTGGGGGAAGGTATTCTATAGTTTAACTGATAGGATCCAATCCCCTACTCATGTTTTACACTTGTGTATCCAATACGCTTATTTAAATTTTTTTTTGCATCAGTGAGAAGATTATCATAGGGTAAACTGCCTTCAAATTGAGCTGCTGCTCATCTCTTTCTTGGGGGACATGAAAAGCAAGTGAACCAACAACCATATTATACAAATTACTCATTTATGAGCCCACTGCCATCTGTTAAAAACAGGAGAAACACTTATGAAACTTGGAATATTTTGTCAGAATACAGTATTGGCTGCAATACACTTCACTGTATCAGCTCCTTGAGAAAGAATTAAGCTGGTAAATATATGTGCACTACATATGAGGAAAGGATTTCTGATGGATTGAGCCCACGTCCCCCCTATGGAAGCTATAGGTTGGCCACCTGAGGCTTAAAAGCATTTGGTAGACTCATTACTAATTCCAAACATCTTCCCTGATATACTGAGTATGTTTAGAGCTTTATTTATAAACTGCAAAGCTAATTTGGAAATGTCAGGTTCTCTAACACAAATTCAAATATTTACATAGTTTGGCAAGTTTCATTGACAACTCTGTTACTTTTGAGCAATATGCATTTTTCACAGTAACAACAGATTTTACAGATAATTTAACATAATGCTATTCCCTTGCTTAGCTGTGAGGCTATTTTCCGTATTACCTGCCACTGTATTGATTTCATATTCCTACTTCGTTGGAAAAAAATTGTATCCCTCAGATTGTTATTGTTGCCGTTGTTGTTGTTGTAACTTACTGTTATCTATCTCAGAGGAAAGAAACATGGTGGATCTTTGGTCACCTAGAAAACTAGGCTGTGGCTTTGAACCATTATCTCTGAGATAGGAGTTTGTAAAATATGGTTTGATAAATACTTTTTAAAGTGAAGCGAAGTGGCATCTGTTCTGTGAAGTGTTATGTCATTGTGCTATTCTGGGATGGGAACATCCATGACATTCTCTGGAACAATGTCATTTATGATTTATGGGAATAAGGGATTTCCCCACAGAACTGAGGGTGCCTAGGGCCAGCCTGAGACCTATGGTGCCTGAGGTAAAACATGCCACTAACACTTCCCCCCGAACACAGGCCCACATCCCAGTGGGGTGGGAGGAGCATGCCGCCTGAGGCAGATTGCCTCAAGTCACTTAACTGGCACTCCAGTCATGCTGGGGCAGCAAGCTACCTTAGGGGTTGCAATGCAGACCACATGGTGCACCCTTCCAACCACTTTCCACCAATAATAATAATAATAATAATAATAATAATAATAATAATTTATTCATAACCCGCCCATCTGGCTGGGTTCCCCCAGCTACTCTGGGTGGCTCCCAACAGAATATTAAAAATACAATGAAACATCAAATATTAAAAACTTCCCTAAACAGGGCTGCCTTCAGATGTCTTCTAAAAGTCGGATAGTTGCTTTTTTCCTTGACATCTGATGGGAGGGCATTCCACAGGGCGGGCGCCACTACCAAGAAGGCCCTCTGCCTGGTTCCCTGTAACCTCGCAGTGAGAGAACCACCAGAAGGCTCTCGGAGCTGGACCTCAGTGGCCGGGCTGAACGATGGGCGTGGAGACGCTCCTTCAGGTATACTGGACTTAGATTGGCCCTCTAAGCAGCTACCTCACTTTGCTTCATGGTAGGGCCAGCCCTGAGCTTTGTCGTCACTGTAAATAAGTGTGGAGAAATACCTAATTGGTACAAAGGGGCCAATTCAAACTCAGTTCTCTAATGATTGACTTGCCTCCTTTTCCATCCCCTCACAACTCCTTGCAAGTTCCCACCTGTCTGTACTAACTTATAACTGCAAAACACTGGCTTCTTTAGGCAGAGGGGCTAGAAATAGACAGCTACATCTCTTCAGAAAGGGGCAGTGATTTGTTCTTGTCATCTGAAATGAAAGGAACACACTGTGCTCAGTCTGTCACATCCTCTAAGGTGTCTGATATGTGCAAAAACATGCTTTCTGCCTGGCATCACAGATGTAATGCCATTGACAAAATCTGGACACGTTCACTGTGGCTGCTGTGATTTTCTACAGAGATAAAATTGCAGGCACACACTTTCCTCCTATTCCTAGCTGATATTTATTTGTGGATCCACAACACGGGAAAGGAAGAAATACAAATTAATATTTGTTTCACAGGCAGCACTAGCAAATATATCAGTAGGGTGAGCTTGGGGCCTGGGAAAAATCTGTTAGCTCTCATTGCCTGTTTCAAACATTTCTACACATTTCTATTCATTATGTAGGGACGCAATGTTTGTACACTGTGCAGAGAAGATTGCCATTGATCTTTTTTCGACAAATAACCAGTGTAGGGCATATGTGTCCTGACGTAGATTGGGACTCTGACATGTCAGGAGAGGTTACCGGTATTTAACCCTTTGCTCCCACTGTAGTCCAGATTACACACTCTCCAACATTTCTCCAATGAAAATTGTTGTTGTTGTTACCCTGCCCACCTGACTGGGTTGCCCCAGCCACTCTGGGCGGCTTCCAACAAAGATTAAAAATACATTAAAATGTCACACATTAAAAACTTCCCTGAACAGGGCTGCCTTCAGATGTCTTCTGAATGTCAGGTAGTTGTTGTTCTCTTTGACATCTGGTGGGAGGGCGTTCCACAGGGCGGGCGCCACTACCGAGAAGGCCCCCTGCCTGGTTCCCTGTAGCTTTGCTTCTCACAGTGAGGGAATCGCCAGAAGACCCTCAGTGTCTGGGTTGAATGATGCGGGTGAAGATGCTCCTTCAGGTATACTCTACCTCAGATAGCGTAAGGGTTGCCCATACAAGAGCCTCAACTCACCATCTCAGAAATGCTCTGTCTCTACAGCCAGAAGCCATATGTTTCGGAATCCTAGTTGCTGAAAACCACAGACAGGGAAAGTGTTCTTGCCTTCAGTTCCTGCGTGCAGACTTCCATAGATGTTTGGTTGGCCAATGCAAGAATAGGATGCTGGACCTGGTGGACCTGATCCTGCAGGGTTCTCCTATGTTCTTCAGATACAGGTGAAAACAGGCATGTCTGCAGCCAAATGGGGGGTTAAGGTAAGCACTGCGACCTTGAATTAGGGTTGGGAAATAAACTGGGAGCGGCTGAGGTTGTTTCAGTACGGTTGAGATATGGCCTGACCCTGGTAAGCAGCTGCATTTTGAACTGATGCCCATTTCTGAAGCATCTTCAAGGGCAGCCCCACATGAAAGTTACCAGAGAATAGATACATGATTAGGCTCTCTGGGCCACCTGCTCTTGAATGCAACTTGGAATATAACAGATAGCCTTTCCTTTACTATGAGTAAATTATACACTTAAGTTCTAAGGAGCTGGTGTCTTTTTCTTATATAAAAGAGGGAGTTATCTAGGGTGTCATT